ATCGTGGCGTTCAAAGGGGGAGGCCTATGTTCAGCAGTGGACGTCTTCCGGCTGATGATAATGATGATGATCAAACCAAGCACGTGTTACCCTTGCTTTATGTAAGGGACAGTTATCCTGTAAATAATTCAATTGTCGCATTTCATTTGCTAGATAAACGTTCCGGACGGATGGTAACATAGTATTTTGGAGAACATCAACATAGTCTGATGCCGTTGCTCGTGGTGGCAAAAAGGTCAAGACTCCAACACCATCAGCAGTCCATACAAATTTACAGAAACGACCCGATTCTTTATTTGGCACGACATGATTTTGTGTGTATCGCGTCTTATTGAATTGCCAAAGGTGTAGACGCTCGACTGACTGGATTTAAAAGTTTTCTCGTCACAGAACACAATGTTACTCCAATCAAAATCCAAATATTTTATGGCGAAATTTAATTTGGCCATTCTATGAGCGTCAGTCATATAAATTTTCTTTACATAACGCCTGTGATACCCATGTAAAGTAAATGGTTTCTAATGGCTTGGAGAGTCATGTCATACATGTTGGCAAAATAACGCGTTGGTTTAAATCCAGATTCCTTATAATTTTGTCTCATGAAGACTCGCTGAGTATCTGATATTTCAGGTCTACGACCGCTACGACACCAAGCGTTCAAATTCCCCTCCTCACTTTCTCGCCTTATCCAAAGACGGACAGCTTGTCTCTATAATGAAAAATAAAATATGAACAGAAAAAATAAAAATGATTTTTACACTCGGACTTGGTCTGAGATTTTACATCAAACTCACGTCAGACATAATAATACTTACCGACACATTTAATTCTCTAGAATTCTCACTAATATTCAAACCATCATTGTGTAATGAGATTATTTTAGCTCTCTCGTTAATGGATAAATTTCGGGACATTGTAGTATTAAACGAATTAGGAAAATACCTACGGAAAATGCCAAGAAAATATTTGACATGAATTGTCAAGTGATATTTTATTTTTCAGTAAAAGTTCTCGTGAGTAACAAAATAGTTTCCACTTTGAAGTTACCTACTTCAATATTAAATTTATGAAAGATTGTGAAGACTATTTGTTGTTGTAAATTATAATCTAATGCATAGGCTGCAGGGGTCAAAATAACGTTTGTGCTCTACGACAACACGTCAGCATTGTGCGTCTCTTTTATTGTTTGTATGCAATTCTAAAATTCGCATTTAGCGATGCTTTAGAGATACGGGACGTGTTTTCAAAACCACCACCACTTTCTTGGCCGACTGTACCTAACAAAAAAAAAAACAAACAAGGGCGGCAGCATTTCCAGCCAGTTTATATATGAATATGCTCATACTACTTACTCTTGAGAATGTGTCGTTTGGGTCAGATTTTTGAAAATTTATTACCATCTGTATAAAATAGAGACTTGTCGTAAATGCATTCAAACAATAGAATAAAATCTAAAACAATAAGAATAATCATTTGTTAACTACATAATTTTAACCCAAGAACAACCAGGCCGAGTAAGTAAGATTTTCGATTTGTCGATTTTATCCCGACTTATATCGGAATAAACATTTGAAAAATTCGGAATAGTGAGCGCAGAGTAGAGCTTTGATAAACACTTAAGCATGATTGTTCTGTCATCATACATATATCATAGATACAAAGTTTAACAAAGAGACCATACCTGACTTAACTCTACATAAATTTATTCTAATGTTTCTAATTGATAAAACATCGTATCAGAGTCGAAAGTTCATAGCCACACTTAAACGACACGGCTTCAATCCAGAAACTACGTTCACATATAAATTTGATAATTAAATCGTATATCATATAAAACATTTTATAACGTCAGTTTAAAAAACCCAATGGTGGGGTTGTTACGTCAAGTGGGTGAAATACTATTTCATGATAACCGACAGCATTAGCTTGCACCTCTCAGTGTGCGAGCTAACACCGCGCGCTGTCTTCGCGTGGGTAGCTCACTGATAGCTAGCGGTTATTAGAATTCGAGGTGCTGCTCAGCCGCTATGGCCTTTATATATGAAATAAAAATATATACTTTCAGGTGATTTACGAACAATTCACAAGAATTAATTGGGTCAGAACAATCAAAGTTATAAACGTAGATATTTACTATATATAGAATTGAGTGATTTCTCACTTAAAAAATTATCAGGTATGGTCAGGGGACAACAGTGGCTATAGAGATAACGTGTGAAGTAGGAGTTCATCACTGTACCCGATTCCTGATACACAGTGCCTCAAATTCCATTGCCATAAAAAGGTTATTATCTCTTATTAAACGAGAACCTACCTATTGCTCTGATTCCCTTAATTGAATAAAATAATAAAAATACATTAGTTACACTTGTATCAACTGCAATTAATGTATCACTAATGTCCACTCTACTTTTATCTAACACTATTTTTATTCAAATTCTGGACACTAATAATGTTATAAGATTTTACTTACCGAAAGTATTGTTCCCTTTTTTAGAAAAGTATATGAGTCGATGATATCACTGTAAGCTTTGAATAGTTTATCCCAAGGTCGAATACTGTTGTTTGTTCTATCCGAAATTTTAACTTTAGCATATTCAACATACAGTTTCATTTTCAAGAAGCAATTTTCCATAAGATATCTTAACAATTGCAACAAGAGGATAAAGTATATAGAACATACTTCAAAACTTATCCAACCACAATTATATATCAAAATATATATAGACCATGAGCCAAAAGTATAAATTGCGGTACCCAAAAATAATATAACAAATGTAATATAAAGTGCAATACAAATCCGATTTAATTTTATGAGATGGGCCATATCAATTTTTAAATACTTGGCCGCCATCCTGGCATTTTGCAGTTTATTAATGACCATAACATTATTTTTCCCGTTCAACATGTTTGATAGGAAATGGATAAAAACCATTGAAATAAGAATCAAATTATTAAAATTCGAATATTTGCCGAAAGCATATTGATAGAAGATTTTGTTGGTATAAAAACTTCTAGAAGAAAAAACGTGAGCAATCAAATAGCATAAAATAAATATTGTAAAAATAATATTAGATAACCATCCATTGGGTGTTATAATATTATTTCGTATGTTGTACTTCCGATGAAGAGTAATATTTTGTATTATGTCGAGACCCAGTAAGAATCTTCGTAAATCCTTGTCTATAATATTGCCATTTCTAATAATCTCGAGTTCTACATTCATTTTCATTATACTCTTTTTTGAATTTTCTGAATTCTTACAATTTTTAACGCGCTTTGCGTCTAAAACCGAGTAACAAAATATAAAAACTCCATCACCGAATACAATAATAAAATTGATTATTTCATTAGCATTAAGTGATTAGAAAATATACATATGTTATAAGGCTAAAGTAATGAAATATGTTGTACTCAATAAAAAGCATGATAGGTGTAGTATTTTATTTTAATTAGTTCAAGGTGTCAATCAAGATACTCAAACTGCAACAACACGATAACGTATGTTGTTATTAAACTTCCGATACTCAATGGTAGGGTCCCATCTACCATAAACATTGAGTAAAGATTACATTTAGAAAAGTTGTATTGATTTACACGGCGAACATTCTTCATTACTCTATTTTGTTCAACTGAAAAAAAGAATTAGTTTATTTTATTATTGTCGATCATATGAGCCTTTGTAGTCAATTAATAATCAAAGAATTATTTGTCTATGAAATATTTGGCTTGAATTATATTTCTAGCCATATGGCTAAACTAAACTATAAAAATATCCAAATATCATTAGAATCTATTTAAGCCAGTATAGTAACACAAACAGTAACAAACATAAGTTTGCAGTCGTGATACCTATGCTCTATCTATATGTGATTGAATGTTACGGTATGTTGTATTTATAAGTGATCGGGAGCTTGGAAGCAAAATGAAATTTCAATTAATTAAGTCATATTACAAAGTATTGTTTCATTAAAAATAAGAATTTGCAAACCCAGGGAATTAATATCTGTTAGTCAAGAGCCCTTTTACGTCCCCACTGCAGGGGCTCAGGCTCTTCCTTATGGATGGTGAAGGAGGATGGGCCATGATCCTCCACGCTGGCCCAATGCGGATTGGAAGGATATTACCGACTGCAAATGCAGCCGGGACCAACGGGTTAACGTGCCTTCCGAAGCACGGAGTAGCTCGAGATAATAATTTTTTGGTCACCCATCCCGTGACCGATCCTAGCGACAGTTGTTTAACGACTACGATCGCGGGCCGCGGCGCTTATCCACTACGCCACCGTGCTACTTACTCCCTTATTAAGAAGCAATGTGTAAGCTTAATGTAGTATTTATAGTGTATTGTTTTTGTGTAACTAAACAACGATTATAAGTGTCTTATAAATGAAGGTGCTAGATGTCAATGTAAATAAACATAAGATCATTTTTAAATGCTTTTTAGTTTCATATTGCTTAATTGGTAGTTGTTATAATATACCTGAAACCGTCTCCTTATCTTTTAATGCTGATAAGCATTCTGTTTCTATCGCTTTCACAGTATCATATAGTTTTTCACACTCCACACTTAACCAGGTTATAAGAATCATATTTTTAAGCACCCAAGCTGAAGTAGCAATTCTTAATATTAATATTGTAGTCTGAAAACAAAATATACAATAGATATTATGTTTACTAAAAGTATATAAATAAAATTTTTACATTACAAAAGAAATTTAATTAACATATATATAAATAGTGGAGAGCACACCGGTATAAAATCTTTTCTCCCATTCATTAAACACTCAGTCTGTTAATTGTAAAGTTATATAGCAATCTAATAAGCTTTTAGCCTTGAAAAATTTATCAACTGAGCAAAATGCATGTTATTTTGGAGCATGCTATATTTATTACAAATATGTCGTCTACACAATTTAAGATTACATATCCATACTTAGACCAAAATTCGATTCGATTTATCGACAGTGTACGTTTTCGCGTTTTTGCGTTAAGCATGCTAGTCGTGTTATAGTCCGTTGAGTCATTGCAATTGTCATTGGAATTTTTTGTTGTAAATTTAATTTCATTCCGTTCTAGCCATTATTTTAAAAATTATCTTAACATGTTATATTACTGTTAGTTTGTGATGTAATTAAATTATTACACTACTTACATCGTTAAAAATATCATCTTTAAGTCCGAATTTATGAATTTTTATGACCATGTGAACAAACATAAGGCTTAATTCAAAGGTTAATACACAGCAAATAATTATCTGAAAAATAAAACTTAAATACATAATAGCTAGACATTAATTTGGTTTCACATAGGTCTAACCAAGAGTTGGTTAGATCAATCTAACAAAATTTTACTCACCGAAACTGTGGCTGTTTTCTTAAGAGATTGGTATGAATCTATTATGTCACAATAAGCTTTAAATAATTTATTCCAAAATCGAGAATTATTAATGTTATCACAACAAATTTTAAAATTAGAATATTCAGAATAGTATTTGCATTTCAAAATCCAATTTGCCATAAGATGACGCAGCAGTCTCGCCAAACAAACGAAGTATATTATTCCTACTTCAAAAGATATCGCAACATAATGACATAAAATAATAAAAAAGGCATATGATTTGAGACAATATATTAATGCGATCTCAATTGTTATCAAAAAAATTATATAAAATAACAAGCAAATCCAGTTCAATCTAATTAGCTGCTTTAAATCATTGTTTAAATATTTGGCTACCCTCCTGATGTTTTGGAGTTTAGTAATAGCCGTTACATTATTTTTACTATGCAACATATTTGAAAAGACATGAATAGAAAATACTATAAACACAACCACTTTATTTAAAGCCGCATACTTTCCCAGTGCACTTTCGAAGAAAACCTTGTTTTTATAAAAACTATTACAAGTATAATGATATATAAAGAAATAGCTTAGAAGTCCAACCGTGGAAATCATATTTGATCTCCATCCATTGGGAGTTATGAAATTGTTTCGTATGCTGTATTTTCGAAGGAGCATGGCATTTTGCGTTATATCAAGACACAATACAAAGCTTCGTATGTCATCATCTACGTTGTTATCATGAAAGAATTTCTGAGGAGTAATTTGAACTACCATATTACTGTTTGATACAGTTACACAATTTCTATCGTGTAGTGCCCCGGAAATAGCACTGAAGCTTCTGTTAATTATTTCCTCGATCGTAATTCAATTTACAAAATAATTTAAGTGATGAGTGGAATTATTAATATTATAAGCCTTATTGAATAAAAATAATGAAATTATATTAAAATTGAATAGGGTCCTGGACAATTTATTATAATGTGATTAATTTCTTCGATAGTTAAAATCCTCTTAAGATAATTCCTTAGCATACATAAATAGGTTTTTATGGAAAAAAAAAACAAATTCTCTTAAGTTTTGCGCAAACACGCTGCGGCCTTGTTTTTGTGCTTATATGACGTCATTTATCTTAAATATCACCAGATTGGGTTAATAAAATTACACAAACAGAAGAAGGAATTTGTTAAAGGGTAATACAACAAAATCCACATTTGTCTACGGTTTCTTGAAAAATATTCATATTTATTACTAGCTGTGCCCGCGACTTCGTCTGCGTGGGAAGTATTTTGGTAGAATTCTTTTTTTCCCATGAATGGAGTCGAATCGAATAAGATCAATGGGCCATAACCCACTATGCCGGCTTAATGCGGATCGGTGTGTGTTAACGTTGCTGATGAAACCTGGCAAGCTATGGCCGAGTCACCAGGACACTCAAGTATTGGACCATTGGTCCCCTTGCCCCTTGCAGATGGAAAACTGGAGAGGCTCGGGTAAATCGATTGCCTCTCCCAGACAGACGAAATGCAATGCAATGCGGGGGTGGTTGCCAACCACCTCCGCTGGCCTCGACGACGACGTGAACCTAATCTGATAAAAGTATGCGTTCACTTCAAATTACTTGATGCTTAATTGCATCATCGGAAGGCTCTTTTCCCTTGTTTTCCTACTCGCGTGCTCGTATCCATTATAAGCTGAACCCTATTTAATATGATTGGCCATATATAAATGAGGTCAACTTACTTTGGAGTTGTCAAAATTTTGGAGTCTTATTTTTTATTTGTCATCATAAAAATTATCATTTTATAGACAATATTAATTCGTAACTCGGTGGCGCTACGGATAAGCGCCGCTGCGCACGATCGGATTGCTAAGCAATTTTCGCAAGAGTTGTTCACGAGATGGGTGACCAAAAATTATTAAACAAAGACCTGAGGCCCTGTAGTTTGGGTGTGAAAAAGTTAATGACATCATCATCAATATATCAAAGACGAAAATTTAATAAAACAGTTAATATTTCATAGCAATTTTGGCGAACACGTCACTTCAAATTGACATCATCTCTTGGCTCATCAGCAATATTAGTTATTAAATAAATAAGTCTAAAATACATAAGCCTCATTGGTAAGTTAGTTATTGGTTTTTTCTATTTATTTTTATTAAATAGAGGGTTCGTCTATTACTATGCCACCCCCATAATAACATACGAGTATATTACTTAATTTCTATTAAGTTCAATATTTGTACCAAATCATACAGCATCCTAGCTTTAGTTATTGTTTCTCTTCAAGTGTTTACGTACTGTGGTTACAGATGAATTTTTGTTGCAAAGAGATTTGGCATATTTCATGAGACACGATAAAATCTTTAGCCACAGTAACAAATTAATTCTTCGAACTAGTAACAAATCTAAGATGACTCGTTAAGTTTCATAATCCATAAGATGATAAGAGATAATAAATTTCATAATAGGATTAAAATTTTGGAATTCCTAATAGCAAAACCAATCCGTACCTTCCAATCCGCATTGGACCAGCGTGGATGGTCATGGCCCATTCTCCTTAACCATCCATAAGGAAGGCCTGAGCCCCGGCAGTGAGGACTTAAACAGGCTGATGATGATGAATAGTAAAACCTGATTAAACTTTTAACGAATAACAATGAATTATTTGATTGATCTATACAAGAGCTATGAAACCAAAAGATGAACATGAAATTTATGTATATAGAATAAGCAAACCTATTTATTTGGGCTAAATAATATTTAGAGATGGGTGATGGAATTGAGAGATTTCCAAAGGAAATTCATTTTAAAATTACTTATAATTTTATTTATTAGTATTAATTTCTGAATAAATATCACTCCTACTGATCTAAATTGACTAAATTCAGTCAACATATTCATATTGCAGTAACACGATTACATATGTAGTTATAAGACTGCCAATGCTTAAAGGCAGAGTTCCTTCTACCTTAAACATAGACCAAGGATTGTATTTCGAGAAATTGTAACGATTTACACGAAGAAGATTCTTCAATACCTTTTTTTGCACGTCTGAAACAAGAACAAAAATTTACATATATATTGTATTACTCACCACGCCATGCTTACTATCTTCAACATATGTTGCTCATGCACTAATGTTACATGGTAATCTAATATTTTCATATAATATTACATCCTAATCATCTAGCTAGATTATAACTGTTAATTTCTTATGTTAATTCGTGTTAATTAATAAATAAGTTACAATATACCTGAAATGGCTTCTGTTTTAAGTGCAAGTAAGCATTCTGTATCTATAGATTTCACGGTTTTATATAGTTTCTCGCATTCTACACATAACCAACTTATAAGTACTATACTTTTCATAATCCATAATGTTGTATTAATGTTAATTACTCTTGTTGAGCTCTGAAATATTTTTGTTTTGATTCATTCTACTTTTTTCATAGTTTCCAGGTTTCCAGTTATACTACTTACCGATGTTAAAGCATCATATGATCCTGATTTTTGAAAATTAACGAGCAACTGAATGAAATAAAGAGTTATGAAAAATGTTGACAAACAACAGTAGACAATCTGAAAAATAAGTAAACAAACCATGGAAATTGTGGATAAAAAATTATTAAAAGCCGCTGTTACATCAGTCATTATAAAAATAAAGTAGCTTTCACTAGCAATAAATAGGTGATCAATAAATTCCGCTTTATTGTTATGCTGCGACTCTGTTTAAAATTTAATTACATCTATGTTTTTTTTCGGTTATTTCTACTTTTAATAAAAACATTGAAGATATATTGTTTTTACTGTACTGTAATGATTATTACAGTTAGATGCATATTCATTTCTTTCAGTTCAATATGGGAAGGTTTACAGAGAGCAGGTCAAAATTACTATGGTGCTTAAATGAATAAAAACTTACCGATACTCTTGTGGTTTTCTTTAGCAATGAGTAGGAATAAATTATGTCACAATAGCTATTGAATAGATTATTCCAATACCGAACGCAATTGATGTTTCCAATAGGAACTTTATAATGTTCAACATAAAGTTTCATTCGCAATAACCAATTTTCCATAAGATATCGTTGCAATCTCAACAAACGGATAAAGTATATTAAGTTTACATCGAAAGATATCAAACCATAATAAAACAAAATTATATATAAAGACAACGATGAGAAAGCATGGATTATGATACTCCATAATAATATTATAAAAGCCATATAAAACACTGAACAAATCCAATTCCATCTTATTAGATGCTTCATATCAGTGTTCAAGTACTTAGCAGCCATCCTGGCATTTTGCAGTTTAGTAATGACCAAAACATTATTTTTATTGTTCAGTATATTTGAAAAAAACTGAAGAGAAACTGTTGAAATTTCAAGTACACCGATGAAAGTCGAATACCTGCCTATAGCATATTGATAGAAAATCTTATTGCTATAGAAACTTATACAAGCAAAATGATGTGCAATAATATAGCTTATAATGGCAATCATACAAATTAGGTTTGACAACCATCCGTTAGGATATATGAAATTCTTTTGTAAATTGTATTTACGAAGCAACGTAAGATTTTGCATTATATCTAGACTCAGCAAGAATCTTTTCAAGTCTGTATCTAGATTTGTATCTAGATTGTTCCGAATGTTCTGTAGTGTTATTTCCACTTTCATTTTACAAATGTTTGGCGTTCCACAGTACTGATTGTTTAATATGCTAAGAATTGTACGACTAAGTAAAAAGATCACCAACAAAGAATTTCATATCTAAATTGAATTTGACGTTACCATTAAGGTAATGGATGAAATAAATTAGTAACTACATAGTGATAATAAAACACGATATGAAAGTACGAATTATTTTATTAGATTGAATACTATGATTGACTAGTGTTCTTCATAATTAAAATAACAAAACATAATTAAGATATTCAAACTGCAACAACACAATTACATATGATAAGGCTTCCCATACTCAACAGTGGGGTTCTATTTACTATAAACATTGAGAAACGATTATATTTGGAGAAGTTATGCCGATTCACAGAAATAACGTTCTTCAATACTCTCTTGTGCTTATATAAAAGATAATAAAATTCACCGCTTTATATCATATTAATGATATAATACCAAAAAAATTGAAATCTTTCAATGGTTTTGTTACTGGTGGTAATACTGAATCCTTTCTATCGTTTCAGTGAGACAGAGTAACAAGCAAACATTCACATTCATTGTTAAAGTTTATTTGACTATCCAAAAATTTGTTAAGGCGTGTATCCACATTGTGAGTCTGCTTCATGGGGCATGTCTCGCGAAGCAGCCTCGCGATGTGGAGACGTCGTTTTCATAATGAACGCGCAACCTACATTCGGCTCACTATATGAAGATGATTCATTCTCACTAGCATATTTAGCAACTTAATAAAAATACTGCTATAGAGTTGAATATGCATGTTGCCTTGCCAGAGGAGATACTGTTACAGCGTCAAATGTCCACATTGCCAAGTCTCAATAAAACTTTGTTATATTTGTTAACCATTGTTTTGGCAAGGTACTTTTGTAGATTAAAGACTCTGCCTTTATTTCCATCAGCTTCATGGCGCACAGTCCTTTCATTGACGGGTTGACAAAATCCAAATCAAGTCACATAAATGTTACGGTTCTAAAACCAAGTTTTTGACGAAATTATATGACTTGAACTTTTCATTTTGAGAACATGTCACTCATTGATTTATAGATTTTATTCTCTATAGTGTTTAAAACCAGAAATCTCTATTTTGATTCATAATTTTTTAAAGTTGTTTAGTCTAGAACGTTCTAGAGTAGTTGCTGGTAAGTCTACCTTGGCCGTTATAAATACGGGGTGGGTTATCCGTTAGGGCATTTTTTCAGTGAACCAAAAACGAGAGCAAACTTAGAAGACAAAACTAGTGCTGTGAACTATCTGGACGATATAATAGTGTTGTGAAGTGTTAGTAGTGACGTGAAATAGAAATCGAAGTGCGTTTTTTGTGGTTAGATTATTTTTGATTTTTTTATTAATTAAATGAAGAGTTGGATTGTCAATTATAATTGCAGTTAATTTTTATTACGAACCCTAACTCGTAACAATATTTTTAAAACTACTGTAATAATTTTGATGAATTATTACATTGCCAACCAATGTCTAATTTCCAAGAAATGCGTAGATACACAGTGCTATACAAGGTGCGCGCGTCTCTTGTAACACAATATGCTTAAAAAAGGAATTCTATTTACTCCGTCAGTCAGATAAAAGAAAAATATTTAGATACGTATTTTTTTACTTCAATTTAACAAGAAATAGCTTAGAT